CCCCCCCCCCAATAAAAACATTCTGTAAGCCAGACCTATTAAGGGGAAGAGAAAAAAAAAATGTGCGTAGCATTTGGAGATTGTATGAAAAATAGCCCCTCATTACAGCCAGGAATTTCAAACCTCTCTCTTGCTTTGGTGCTTGTGGTATTTGCCACAAACATCACTTTAACTGGTCCAAGCTGAGCTTTCTGCTTTGATACCCATGTGCACGTGCAGAAAGACTCCATCATATTTGTTACAGGAATTGCAACTGATTTTCTTAAAATTTCTGGATGTTAAATCCTCAACCACAGTGGCTATTTACTTTTGTAAACTTCCCCCTGCCACTCACATTTTCACTGCTTACAAATGGAAAAGTATTAAAGCGATCTAAAAATGTGCCCACCATGAGTAATTTCAAGAATACACGAGCGCAGTATAATATGTGTGATGTGTCAGCCAGGTGCTCTACCCGTGAAGGATATTAATTTGTAAGTATTCTGCCACACTTTCAGCCCAAGCCGCAACAGCTCAGAATTTTTAGAGATGTTTATCTCAACTTAGTCTGCTGATAGTAGGGTATGCTATGGACAAGCTCTCAACCAGCTCTTTGGGCTAAAGTTTGTGAAACAATGTTATCTGAGGTCAGGTCTAGTAAAGACAGTACAAAGAGTACCCAAGCAGGACTCTTGAAAAATTGTACTGTCTGCAGGACAGGTTGCATGCATTATCTGATAAAGATACCCATCTTTATGAGAATCTATTTTTTAAATTGCTTTTTTATATATTGAACTTTAAATACAATGCTAGAAGCAAATAAATTTTTCATAAAATATTCTTTATCCTAATTTATACCATCTCAAAGGAACTTACATCTAGCAAGAGAACTTCTTGAGATTTTTTTAGGCAGTTTTGGCTTCGATTATAAACCTATCAGTCAGGTCTGTACCAAAAAGATATGGTTTGTGATTAAAAACAACTAAGCCACTGTCTGTCAGCTGGCTACTTTCATTTACACTGTGCTGTTACCCTGCTTCAGTTGGAAAATATATATTTGCTTAAGTTACTATGAGAGACTAAGGCCAAACTGGTACTGGCAGGCCACTCTAACTAGGATAGCTGAAGTGGTAAATGCTACCACCCTTGTGCTCTGTGCACCTTCTTTTTGCAGGTTTTTATGCATGAAGCTGTGGCAGCTGACTGCAGAAAGACAGCTGTGCTGAAGTTACGACTTTATAGACCAGCATCTGGGAGAAAATGGAACTTGGCAGCAGTTTATATGAGTCTGTCACGTAAGTTTAGGCTCAGCTGATGAATGTAACCTGAGTGCTTTTGATGATATATTTATTACTTAATTTCCTTGTAAGATTCACTGCCCCAAACAGCTCCTTTGTATTTCATCAAGACTTGCTAAAGACTTGAATAATTGTCATTTCATTTGGACTTCTCCATATGTTTCCCTTTCCTTTCTTTTCCAGTTCTCTCTCTTGCTTTGCTGAACCTGTCTTGTCTTTCATTCCCTAAGCTCTTGTACTGGTACTTTAATACCTTTTTCCTGCTTAACTTTTGTTACCCTTTTCCTGTTTAACAATGTTTTCTTCAAAGCTGCACTCTTTTCCAACTGCCCTTTTCTCCTGATCAGCTCCACCTCAGTCTCTCATCTTGGCAATTCCAAACAGCAGTTCCCACTGCCAAGGCTCTCTGTGATACCCAGCTGCCCAATTTTAATCGCTGTTTGATGCCTTGTGTGTCCCGTATCCAACAGCAGGATAACCTTGTGGTTGTAGACTGGCTAAGCAGCCTGGTTTGAAAACTAGGACTGGTATGACTGACAAAGTCACTCTTTACATATCTAGACATTGAAGACTGAGAAACTTCAGAATATGGGTTGTAATGATTATCATTTTTCTTACCAGGCCCCATCATGGCAGGGGTAATTTTAAAGAATTCCTCTGGGTTGTGACTTGGGTTTTGGTCCTTCATTTCATTTCCCACTCAAAGCCTGGGGTTAATCAAAGAAAAATACATGCATGCCTTCTTGGGTGGTAGTTCTTATGACACATTTACTGCTGAGAAAAAAACTGTAATTGTTTGCCACTTTTTAAAATCCTGTAATTACTGTGATTATTCATGGTGTTGACTGAAACTTAATTGACTTTTACTTGTGTATGGACTTTAGGATCTCGAGCCTAATTTTATTGTTCTATCAAACTTGCTGTCCATTCATAGCAGTTTTGTGCCATACCTGTCTTCATTGCCTCCTTCCCTTCCTTCTTTATCCTATTTCATTGTTATTTCTGTGTGTTGATTTAGTTCCCCCCTTCTCAAATAAAAAAAAAAAAAAAGAGAACCAACATATCATTGACTGCCTTCAGATTGTTGATGTAGTTTATCCCCTTCCCACACTCTGTGTTTTGTCTAAATTGATTGTAAGTGTCTCAGGTCACAGGCTGCGTATTATATAAAAAATACCATCCTATAGGAAGCTTCTGCCTGATTTAGTCTTTAGGCACAGTATAAATTAATAAATTTAATAATAACTATGCAAGTAATCCCTTTGGTTTTAATGGTACATCTGAAAGTAAGTGCTCAAGAATGACAAAAAGGATGCCTCATGCTACATGGAATTAAGATGAGAAGTTGCATTTAAGGAAGCATTGACAATGTAACAACAAAAAAAGAGCCTGATTTAACTGATTGCCTCTTGTAATTTGCCAAATAAAAGATTTTATTGGTTTATTCATACATTCATTTATTCATTGTGGATAGTATCACACTGAATACTTATCTCTGAGCTTAGTGGCCTCAGGGATAATCCAAGCCAGTATTATGTTAAACATTATGTAGAACAATGAAAGAGCAAACGCGTGCAAGTGTTTCTGCTCCAAAAGGTTGGGTAAAAGCCTTATATCTATCTGCAGTACCTATAGACAATGTTTATATACAAATGAGGAGGAGCTTTATAGGAAATAAATTGTCAATGCCAACCTCTACAGGTGTTCGACAGGAGCTCATCCCGAGCAACGACGTGGGATAAAGCGGGAAGGTCTTTCTTTGAAAGGGCCGTAGTGGAAGTGAGTTGTACGGGCTGGCAGGAAATAGGAGATGATACCCTTTCAGTGTCAAACAAAAGGTACGCAGGACTGGATCAGTGTGTGAATGGGCTTGCAATTGAAGAGTAACTGGTTTGTGGGTGATAGAGAATCTCTTTGGAGAGATGTGGAGAGCTAATATAGTTAAACTGATGAACTAAAAAAAATGGTGTTACGGAGCTTCCTGAATGGAAGCGGATTATTTTTAGGTTGTTGAGGCCAGAGAAAAGGATGTCAACAATAATTGAGGTGAGGAAAGCTTGAGCAAGATTCCCAGCCATATCCATAAATACCAGAGATCGTGTCTTGGTTGACATCTCCACTGCAGTTTACACCAATCTGAGCCCAAACCCACGTTTCTGGCTGTAAGGTTCCACCCGCTCCATTGCACAGTTGGCTGTAAAATAACTCGGCAGAAAAGCGGTTGTTTTCTAGGCAGTTTGCCTAACACACACTCATTACTAGAACTTTAAAATTACAGTGGAGACACCTAAATTTGAAAGGAGACAATAATGAGGGGCAATCCCAACTGTGTGTGCCCATTAGGATGCTGAGCTGTGAGATGGAAGGGACGGAAGGAGAGTCGAGACCAGCGCTTGCCACTGCCCTTGCAGAGAAGGGAAAAAACGGCCAGGTCCGGTAACGGCAAGGCCAGCGGAAACGGTGGCTGGAGAAGCAGCGAGAGGTGAGAATAATTGTAAAAGCTAAGCTAGGACAGCTGGTTAGCCACGCTAAACGTGACTGAAGGCTAAAGGAGGGGTTGGTTTAAGATGGGCTGAGAAGCTTTCAGAGGCTGAGAGGAAGCAAAACCAACTTTGCAGGGATTTAGGGTAGAACAGGACAAGAGATGCGATTGGGAGACTTGTAAAAGTGAGATCATATGAGGCACTTCTACCAAAGGCTTTTTTTTTTTTTTTTAATGTAAAAGAGACAAGTATCTCTGTGTGGGTGCTGGAGGAGTCAGAGCAGACTGAATGACTAAAGCTGTGAACAAATGGATGAGTGAATGTGAGAAAGATGAGGAAATGAAACAGGGTGAGGGTAATAGGGCAAGTAATGGAGTTATAGAAGACACGTAGATAAGATTTTTGTTATTGCCACTTAGAGACTTGTAGAGAGGGGAAGCATCAAGAGTATATTTTGTTAATTTGATCTTTTAAGAAGAAAATGGTGAGATAGCAAGTAGAGCAAAGCAGATAGAAAGGCTTGGCAAGGGTTAGTCTGCAGCAATGAAAAGCTAGCTAGGATTACAGGTGTGCAGATAAGCTGCAGAAGTAGAATTGTTTAGCTCTAAGAAGGCAGAAATGGAGGCGAGAACAGGCTTGCAGGAGAGGAAGTTAGCCTGATGACAGGATTTCCGTCAGAGACACTTTGCACTGCAAAGCATGGATGAAGCAAGTGCTGAAGGCAAGCTGGTACTGTGAGTGAGTGTAACAGTTTATCATAAGAGACGGAAGCAAAAACAAGTCAGTGGTGGATGAAAGTTGTATGTGTGGTAAACATAGCTAGTAAATTGCTACTAAAGCAAATACATTTTTCTGTGCTTAACGTCCAAATGTAAATAAAGCTAAAAGATGTGCACGCTTCATTTTTAATCAATGCAACTAGTTGGTATTATTTTTTTAGCTTTTCTTCACTCTTACTTTCATCATTCTGGTTTTTTTGTTGGTTTTGGTTTTTTTCTTTTTTGTCTCCAAGACATTAGTTTCTCCACTTGCAGTATTGGAGTACAAAGCTCTGAAATAATATTTTTCCTTAAAAAGTTACTTTTCTGTTGTTACTAGAATGCAAATGCACCTGCAGCCACCATCTTCCAGTGTTGTTGTATTCCATACCAGCTAAAAATAAGCAAGACACCTAAGGCTTGTTAAACCGCTTAACAGATAAGATACAGCAGCAGAGCTATGCCCAGAAAAGGAGTCAGAACTGCAACGGTTCATTACATGGTAATCATCATTTTACTTGTTTCTTTCTTAAAGTCACATCCCTGACCTACGGAAGTTAGGGAAAGTGCCTCAGACCAGCCTTTTAGTTATCAGAAATATGTATTTCAAGCATTATAAAGGTAATATACATAAGATAATTATATTAACACAGGGTTGTTAAGTCAGCTGTATAGAATCCAAAGCTTTAGAAGAAACCTTTGAGATTCTACCACTGTGAATAGGTATGTCTGTGATCGGGAACACATAACGTTATTTTCTCTTAAGATGTGGGGCCGCTTTAAATTTGTAAGTCTGCATTATTAAACCACCGTGGGAAGCGTAGCAGGAGGAAACCGGGGTAATTGGCTGCAGCTCCAGATGCAGCCGCCCGCTCATTGGAGAGCGGAGGATTCTCCGAGGTACTAAAATTAGACAATCTCCACCCTCCAGAAATGCTTCTGGAAACAGCCAGGAGGAGAAATTCTGACACAGACTGAGGGCCTGTGGTGGGGAGTTGACGTGCCCAGCACCCTGCTCCCAGCGAAACTGCAGCGCATAGGGATGTACAGAAAGATACTATTATTTTTTTAAACTTGGTTAGCTGGAAAAAAAAAACTGCACGCAATAAAGAAATTCAAGCGATTAATGTTAGCAGTGTTTTACACGGGTATTAAATTCAACATTTCTTATGTAATAATAATTCTGAAGTATTCATCCAGGCTGAGAGAGCCTTTGAACTGCTAAATCTAAGCTAGGGCTGTCATTGTGCTCATTGACTTTGAAAAGAAGAAACTCTTGCTGAATTAACTCTGAACTAAACTAAAAAAAATGGTGAACTATTCCTATCGGGTTTTTTTTAAAGACATGTTTATCCATTATCTCTGTAGTTCCTGTGTTTACAATGTCTTCAAATTAAATATTGGTTAAAGGTATTTCTGGTAAAAAAACAAATACCACGTGCCTGTATCAGTGAAGGAAAGCTTGTATCTGAATTACTCAGTCTTGTGCACTTGGAACCTTTATTTTTTAAGGTATGTGAATAAAAATTTCAGTCTTTGATTTTTAAACATATTTCAAAGTGGCTACAAGGAAATAAACACATAGTTTTGTTTCTCATTTCTATTTTTATATTGTTTACATTATGAAAAAGATTAAGGCAAAATGTATTTTCCTTACACTAAAACCAGCTTTTGCTGTAAATTTGCTATTTCCTCTGCTAACGTGGGTACACAGGGTCAGCATGTATGTGTCTTAAAGTGTTGGGGGTTTTTGTCTGTTCTCTTTTGCATCTACTTTCAGTCTGATTTCATCAACAAATTGAAGCCTATATAGCTGTGTTTTCTCTTTGTCCCTTTGTCACCTCAAGGACTCAAATGCAATGGCCAGTTTCAGCTGAATTTGCCAGCAGGCCAGAGGTCTTAAAAGCACCTTGGATCCCACAATTTTTGAGAAATTGGTAATAAGAGGGGACAAAGCCCAAAGGAGAGGAGCACGGCTGCAGAGCGAGCTCAGTAGTTATCAGCACCGCTCACTGGTCCACACCCCGATAGTGCCGGGCCAGCTGGCCGGCGTTCAGCCCTGAGAGCCGCCCGCGGCACGCGCAGCCCTGCCCGGGCTAAACGGGGTGGATGGGGAGGCACCGCCGGGGCACCCAACACTGCGGCTTCCAGGTCACGGGCCGGGCTATGGCGTGGAAGGTCGCACTGGGTGGATGATGGCTGTACTGTCATCGCTCCAAGCGGGAGTGGCCCTGGAGAGCCAGGGAAATGGGGAGCCTGCAGAGAGTATTGCCACGATGGTGGTAAGGTGTGGTAAATATCCCCAGGGAACGTGGCTTCCCCCAGCTCTGTTTATGGCTCACCTCATGGTTTAACTTGGAAAACAGTGACTGTTTCTTACTCATTACATGTTTGGTTTTGTGATAAAAGTAGCATTAGATGGGCACTGTAATTCAATTAAAAAAATGCTGAAAAACAATATTAGAGGGCAGTAGATTCACGTTAGTACATGTGGTATGGCAGAAGACTGTCTACTTGTAAGCTCCTGATCCTGCTGATGTTGATCAGGGATGTAAACAGGAAACCTCGTGCATGCTTCCACAATAAATACTGCTATTTGACCTGAAGAAGGGCTTCTGTTTTGTTTTGTTTGTTTTTTTTTTTCCCCCCCAGTAAATAGAATTACCTCAGTTTAGGAACGTTTGCTGTGAGATCATACCTCCCTCAGCGGTCCTGAGCGTGAGGTAAAACCAACACAGAGCTTTTATTGTCGCAGATAAGAGGCCTCTGATAGCTCCCCTCCAGATCACGCCGCTCCCTGCCTTGTTCTCGTACCGCAGGAGGTGCCCGTGCACAGGCAGATGCGGCCCTCAGGTTTTTGCCCCGGGCTGCGAAGCGCTCTCCGAGGGCAGCGGCCTCCCGCTGCCGCGCCCCT